TAACCATCGCCTTGAAACTACACTTGGTTTTTATTGGTGTATTTCCAAGTCCATATAACGTTATCGTCATTTTTTCAACTGCTACTTTTTGAAAACTTTTCAATACGTGTTTTTGAACGATACATACATCTGATCCTGTATCGATAAACCCATAAAATTCTTTATTGTTTATAGTTATATTTTTTAAACGTTTTTCCTTTTTAACTATATACACTTGTTCTTTATTTTTCCCGCAATTTTTCGCAATATGGCCGCTTTTGTTACATTTGAAACATTTTATATCTTGCTTACATTCTGCTCTTCTGTGCTCACTAGACCCGCAGTTCAAACAGTGCTCTCTTTTCATTTTTATACTCTTATCGTATTTTCCTGTACCATCTTTTGAAATTTTTCCCAACTTTTCTACATGTTCCTCTTTTTCCTGTTTATTCACTCTATCGTACACTTCGTATATGTCTCGCAACTGCTTTATTGTTTTTGCGCTGTGCAACGAATATTTAATGTCACTTTTGATTTTTAGCCCATCGACTATGTACCGAATAACGGATATTTCATCTATGTTTCCCATTGCCGCAATTCTTTTCATATGTAGTACGTACTCGTGAAATGTTTCGCATTCTTTTTTCTTTCTTCTAGCTAGCATTTCGTGCAGTTCGGCTCCGTTGAGCTCTCGATAAAATTCGCTCACCAACGCACTCTTCAATTCATTGTAATTACTCACAGTGACCGTTTCTAAATATAATTGCGCCGTTTTACACATTTTGTTGCGCGCTTGTACGTATTTTTGTTTATCATTTAACTCGTACACGTCCGCGTTTTTTTCAAAATTATCAAACCATAATTTAACAGCAATTGTCTCACCATCGAATTCTGTTATAACTTTGCTAAAACTTTCCATAGCAATATTTTTATTATAGATCGCTTCTTTATTTTCGTTTGACTCTATTCTCCTTGCGAGTAAGCGAACAATTTCGCTTAAATTCTGAGTCTCAAGCGCACTGTCTTTGTTGTCTTCTTTATCTGTACTCATTTTGCTTTCTGCTGTTTCTCCTTGCTCTGTGTAAAATTGCCACTCACTTTCTGACTCTCCCAGATTTTTCTTATTTATGTTTGTCTCTTTTGTTTCGCACGCTACTAATTTCGATTGCGCGCGCGTTTTGTACCGTTTCTTTAAATTGCTTGTAGCCTTGCCGCACATAGAATTGTATGTATTTTTATGTTCACAAGCTGGACTCGGACACGGTTGAGCCCTCAAATGTAAGATAATTTATAGTATAATATAAATACAAAATAGTTATTTAGATATAATATTAATTGAAAATACACAACAGTTATTTAGATATAATTAAATTGAAAATACACAACAGTTATTTAGATATAATTAAATTGAAAAAGAAATCCACTATTCGACCGCTACCACTTTACAACTTCACTTTCAACTTCTCTGTTCGGACGCTTATCTTCGACTGACTGCTGCTGTCTTTCCATTCTCCCTCCTTCGCATACTGCTGACACAGTGATGCCACCCTTTTACATATATATATTTATTATGACATTAGTACATGATTTAATATAATTAAAAGTTTTTAGTAATTTTCATTTCGTTTCCATATATTTCATTTAATACTGTTATAAAATATATATGTTATAGAAATAATATATAATTTTTACATAAAAGGATATAATTTATTTCGTTATTTTAAACTTTAAATATATTTTTAAGCATTGGATATTTGTTGCTAGTGAGCATGTTTATGTACATAACTTTTAAAATATTTATTGATTCTATATAGTACATATACAATGCATATTATAATTATAAGAATTATTAGGGCTACCTGTTGTTCCGGCATGTTGACTTCTAAGGACGTGTGCGAGTTAGGCTAAGTTGCATTCTAAATGAGGGCAATTCTAAGTTGTGCCGATAATGTAGTGATGTGTCGATACGTGGTGATAAATGGTTAAATGTGTGCAGTGCAAAAAATCCCAAAAACTTCCTATTTGGTTTAGTATCAACTTAGCCTAACTCGCACACGTTCTAAAATTTGGTTCTGGTTGTTGTTTGCTGTATTTGCTTGTTCAGGTGCATCCGCTGGAAACCAACCCATGATGTTTCAGTTGCAGGAAAATATTTTTTTTTTATCGTTTTGAATGTGCGTTGAAAGTTGAAAAGATGTGTTTATTCATACATGAACAGACGCTTGTAGATCGTTGGATCATTCAGTTAATCAGTTTTTTGATTCCTATTTCGCATTTCACAATTACCTTTTTCACATCAGTTTTTCATTCAGTTTATTAATTCATATTTCACATTTCACAATAACCTTTTTCACATCAGTTTCTCAATCAGTTTATTAATTCATATTTCGCATTTCACAAAAACCTTTTTCAGATCACATTAGTATTCATTACTTCCACTTTAAAGTTCACTTCATTTTTGGTTTTTTAGGAATTTATGCACCTAGTCCTTGCCTTCGGAATTTGGCACAGTTGACTTAATTTTTAGTTTTATAAAAAAAAAATTTCTTTTTTTTTTGTTTTTTTTTTTGTTTTTCAAAATTTTAATATTTTAAAATTTACTTTAATTCAATTTTTCTAAAATTTATTTATTAATTTATTGGTCCTTGCCATTGAGATTTGGCAGGATCGCCATGTAAAGTATTATCTTTGTAGAAATAAAAGACGCGTCGCTTTCAGTGTTTGTAGAAGACTGTCTTTATTAATTTGTTCATTCTTAAATCTAACATTGTTTCTTAATACTAATTTCCAATAGAATCTTATTTACTTATTCTATTGGTTAATACTTATAATACTTGCGTCTAATTGGTTAACCCAAATTAGACGTATATAATATTCTTACAGAAATATCTTATCAATAAATGATATTATATTTACTAATGCAAGTGTTCTACATATGGTTTTACTTCAAACCGTTTATTCTATTGACACAGTTTTCACTTATGCATATTGCACATATGGTGCAATGTGCGGCTCAGTTATTTGTCATCAAAATAATGACAAAATAAAGGCTCATATAACTTGACAATAGTTTGTCATAAATTTTATTAAAATAGAACTTTGTCAATGGTTATTTTAAATTATTCGGAACACTTGAGTGTTTTGTGATATGTGTGGTCTTGTACCCATATCACATTATAATACATGAAAGGTTATCGTTAATTAAATAGAAATGACAATTTTCATCTACTAGTTGCGGAGTAATTTCCAGACCACGTTTGAGGTAGTCTGGAATGGTGCGTTTTGAAGAACTTTAGTTTTTTATATTAATATACATTAGTATTTTCTACAAAAGGATTTTTTACATATAAATGATAAAGAAATATATATATTATCACACATAAATAATTGGAAAATAGAATGGTAAAAAAGAAGAAAGAAAACTACCGGCATAAAAGGTATTTTCCGAAAATACTCCTAAACCTGCCTAAAATCCTACCAGAACAAGGCCCAATGACAAAACGACAACAAACAACGCTCAGAAATAGAGGAATACCACCACCAATAAGACAACACATTTGTTAGTTCTTGCCGTTATTAGATATATATGTGATACATAATTTTTATTGTTTATATGTATTAATTGCTTTGTTTAAAATATTAACACAAAAAATTATAAATTGATCAATATCCCGTGGATAACCATAAAAAATTACGGAAGTTTCTACATAATAAAATATTAATATTCACAATTTTATACACATTTATTAACACATGTTTATTAATAACTACCTTAAAATTAATTCACTTAAGCTATGTATTTTGAACAAAATAAATAAATAAAGTAAGTAGTTATGGTAAAAAATTTTCCAATATTATATTACTTAAACAGTCTCCATCCATGAAATTTTCAGTAATAAAATAATTTAAAATAAATGACCAAATTGTAAACATTCCCTTCACAATGAACAGGCATATGCTTGTACCAATTTTATCAGTTCTGAAAAAGTCCACATCTTCAAAACCATCAATTTGGTCCAATACCGAGTTATACTGTAGCTGTGGCCTTAATTCCATCAACAATTCTCTCGGTCAATCTGCCTAAGCATGCTTATTTTTTTCAAAAGCATGTGGAAACATCAATTTTTAAAACCAGGTTGCAAATTCTTGATGGGCGTCCATACATATAATATACATTTAACTGTTATACCTGATTAAAGCAAAAAATTTAAATTGGTTTTATTTGCTTCAAACGTTCCTAAAATAAGATAAAAAAATTATCATATTCTTCCAAATAAAAGTACATATTTTTATGTATATACATTTATACACATACATATATATATGTAGGACAGTAAGCTTCCAAAGAAGTAGGGTTGTTCCTCCTATTTGCATTATAAAGTGATATTAAATGCATGCAATTTTTACTTGCTGCTTGCTGCTGCCAAGCATTAATTGCAAAAACAAATAATTACACCTGTGGCTGTTGTCGATATTTAATCATAGTAAGCTCAGTTACAATTTGAATGATATTGACAACATCAAATTTATGAAATGAGATAGAAAAATATTTTCTTCCCATAAGTTTCAACTTTCTGTCTGAACTAATATTAACGGAATATAATAAATATTTTTCAAATTTAAATATAGTTTATGAATTTTCATTTTGATTAATATACAAAATGAGCGCTATATATTGGTGACCCCGACGTGATTTGAACACGCAACACACGAGCTTGCCGGTGACACATTCAGATGATGAATCTGGATTCAGACCATTTCAATTAAACAACTGAACTGGTCACATCTCACAACATTAACAATTACATCCGACTGAGCGACACCATTCAATTAGAGAAGAAGTGTCTCGAATTGCAGTTAAAATACCTCCTTTCTGGCACGCTAGGCCTGAGTTTTGGTTTGCGCAGATAGAGTCGCAGTTTGTTACTTCAGGAGTTACCACAGAGCAGACCAAATTTCATACAGTAGTCGCGTCAATTGATGGAGTTATCCTCGCGCAAGTCAGTGATTTGGTACTTAACATGCCTACTGAAAATACGTACTCCACTCTGAAGAAGCGTTTGCTTGAAGAATTTTCAATTTCCGAGCAAAAAAGGTTGAGAAAACTGCTTCAAGACATGGATCTGGGCGATTTGCGTCCTTCTCAACTCCTGCGTGAGATGAAAAACTTGGCCGGAACACAAATGAATGAACTTGAACTTAGGTCAATGTGGATGACGCACTTGCCAGCGAATATGCGCGCAATCATTTCAGTAAGCAGCGAACCTCTGGATAAAATCGCTGTTATGGCAGATAAGATCGCCGAAGTGAATGACGCTTGTTCTATTCAAGAAATTCGTTTACCCACAACCTCCAGGGTAAGTGATGTTTCTCTTCCCCAACAGATATCACAGTTATCGATGGAAGTGGCCGAGTTAAGGGCTGAACTCAGACGTTCTCGCAGCCGTGCAACTTCAAGACACCGTAGTCGAAGAAACAGTGTTGACCGTGACGACGAAGGTCTCTGCTGGTATCATTGCAAGTTTGGTCGTAGCGCCAAAAAATGCAAAGAACCATGCAGCAAAAACTTAAACTAGATCGTCTGTCTTTAACGGCGATACCAATAAATGATGATGATGAATTTCATACTTTGTTAAAGGAATTCCCAGTAATCATTAATGATTCGCCAGTTTTCTTAGCTTCAACTCGTGATGTATTTCATCATATCGTCACTAATGAACCACCGGTTTCTTCAAAATATCGTCGCCTTTCTCCTGACATGATGAAAGCTGCTAAAGCAGAGATTCAATCTCTCCTTGACACTGGAATTTGTAGACCATTTAATAGTCCTTGGGCCAGTCCTTTGTATATGGTTAAAAAAAAAAAAAAGGAGAATGGAGACCTTGCAGTGACTCCAGAAGACTTAATTCTATTACCGAGCCAGACCGTTATCCCATTCCGCATATGGGTCAGTCTTTTACAACTCAGACACCTTTTTGACCTCATGATCTCCGATTTGGCTGAAATTTTTTTTATGAGCTCCTTTCATAAAATAAGAAGACCCGTATCTCGGGAAAAAATTTTGTGTTTTTTTTTCTAGGGGATATGGACCCATGGGGTTTTGAGAATTGGCATAGTGGACACATTTTCAAATGGATATATCTCAAGTTCTATAAAAGCTACAAACTTGAAATTTACAGCGTTTCAAAGATAATTGATTGAGCTTTTATGAAATTGTTTCAACAATTAAAGTTGTTTATATTTAAATACTAATATTAACTATTAAATTTCAAAAAAAAATTTTTCTTAAAATATATCCTCTGGGATTCTATTTTTTATATTTTATTTAGATTCAGTTTTAAATTTTACTACGAAATAAAAATTTTTAGGATGCCGTTATTTTTGAAATTTTTTAATATTTTTTTTTCTCCCGCAAAACACATCAAGCACATGCGTACTACATTTTCATTGAATGAATTTTGAAAGAATATACTACATATATTCTTATATAATATTTTTGATTCGACAAGTAATAAAATTCTACATAAAACCCAAAAGTTTCAGGACGGTATTGTAATTAGAAGTACTTTTAAAAATTTATTTATCCTTCATATCACACCAAACACATACACACGATTTTTCAGTAAAAAAAAACGCATATGTCACACAAATTTTTTTTTTTAGTTTTGATTCAAATTAATATAGAAATTCTACTTCAAAAATAAATATTTCGACTGTAATATTCATTTTAGAAGTAATTAAAAAAAATTAATTAATCAGGTGTCCTTCACGTTACTCATACTCACCAAAGTACCATGAAATCAATTTTCGAAGGAAAGCGATACAAATACTTTTACTTTTTATTTCTAAAATGAATGTATACATAAAACATAACATTTTAAATTAGTTCCGCATCATTTCTGTTTTTAAATTATGAATTTTAACATAATTAAACCGTTTGATAAACTTTTTTCTTATATAGATGAATTGAAAAGTTAATTAGTTTCATACTAGTCGAACTACATAGATAACTGCAGCACATAATCACACCTACCTTTTTCGGTGAAGTGTTATTTTGCTAGAGTTGAAAAAATACTCTGAATAGGTAAGAAATGTTATAGGAAAGAAACTGTTAGGAGCTAAAAACAAAATATTTTTTTTATGGTTTTTATATTAATTTTTTTAATTCTTATTTCATTATTGATATATAATATGTAATGTCTGAAGAATAAGGCAGTGATATTTTAATGTGCATTTAACTGATGTAGCTGCTTCAAAGCGGTGTTTAATCTTATTTTCTTCTACTTCATAGTCTTTTAACGTTGAGAAATGGCACACAATATTTGGTAAACATTCCTTAGCCCAGTTAAATAATTCCTTTGGTGTTTGGATTGGATTATTTATTCGTTGAAGGCTAGCTCTTGCAGCATTCCTCTTTAAGGTACCAGCTAAGCCGTCGCATGGTCCTTTGCCGTGTGGCTCATCCGCTTTGTGATGAGTTAAATTAATAAAATTCTTTTTATTTTTATATTGTGAACCCGATCCATCGGAAAACTAAATAGTTTTTTTAATATCCGTACTAATTTTTTTAATGAATTTAATAGCGTATTTCTGGAACAAATGTACAGCAGTTGTGTTGTGATGTAAACAGTCAGATATGCAAACAAAATTTTTTATTTGCAGTTTTTTATTTTCATCACGGTGGTATATTGCAAACGGATGAATTGTTGCCTGATTATTATTCCAGTGAATACCTTGAACAGAGTTTTGAACAATAAAAGCATAATTTTCGGAAAAATCACTCAAAACTATGCATTCAGTTTTTGTTAAGTTGCTTTTTTTATCATTTAAAAACTCTGCGTGTTTTTTAACAATAAAAGAATGCAACAGCAATTTGTCTAAACCATCTGTTAAGGATTGCAAATATTCGTCTATTTGGGATATCAACGTTTTGTAATAAGATTTGGTTTTATTAGTTGTACTATAAATTTTTCCTAGCGCAGCGAGGCGCCTTTCTTGTTCGCAACGAGGCGAATAAAGCTATGTTGCAACTAGGCAACTTAAACAAATGATTAGTGAGACTCAATGTTCTGTTTGAATCTGAATTCTTTATTAAATTTGTACAGTATTTATACTTATTCTAACTTAAACACTAACCTACCTGAATATTATGTTCGTCTAGTAATTTTTCATATAAAAATGCTTAATATGCATTTCAATTAATTTAAAAATATGAATTTATTATTATTATTTAATAATTACCCGAAATACTAAATAATGAAATTCCAATGCAAGTTAATGCACTTTACGAATTTCATTTGCGCAAAACAAAAGAATCAAATTACTTTTCTTTTGCGCTTCTTCACATGGCAAGTGTGTGATCAATGTCTTTGTTTTTGGCATGTGCCAGTAACGTATGTCATCATATTACCATTAACAAATAATTATTTTGTTTATTTTGTTAATATGTAGATATACTACACCCTTACCCTTTTTTTTTTTTTAAAAAAAGTTTTATTTTATTCTTGAAGAAATTAAAATTTTTTTTTTTTTTGTTAATTACCTTTGTTAATATGTTCTTAATTCCTTTGGAGTACATAATATTCAGTTTACATATTCTAATAACATTGTTATTTCTCAGATAACTTTTAATGTATGTAAATGATATTGTTTTAAGTTTAATATTATTTTTGTCTTTTTGTAAAATATTCTAATTACATGCTTATGATTATTTTTTTTTTCTTCTCTTTTTTGTTTTTTATAAATCGTTGTTTGTTAATTATTGTACATTTTTAATTTATTTTTACATTGTCTTAAATATAGCTTTTTAACATATTATTATGGACAGTAATAATTGTTCCATTTTTGTCTATTGAAGAATTTACGCCTTTTTGTCCAACTATTTTAAATGGACCTAAATACTGGCTATCTAACTTTTTTCTATTCATATTTTTTATTAAAACTAAGTCTCCTATATTTAATCTTAAGGGGTTACTTCAATAACTATTTTTTACTCTATTTAGCTTACTAAGATTTAATAATTCTTTTGATTTATCTAAAGCTGTTTTTAATCTATGTTTGAGCTCATTTGCATAACTTTCAAAATTATATATTTTTTCACTATCTGGCACTATGTCATTTGGTAAATTTGCTAATTTACCATATACCAACTCAAAAGGTGAAAATCCGGTACTAGTGTGTGGTGAAGTGTTGTATGCGAAACAAAAATATGGTGTCCATTGGTACCAGTTATGGTCATTTGCATGATTTAATAAAAACTCATTTAGAACTCTATGATTTCGTTCAATGGAACCTAGAGTTTCATGATGATAAGGGGTACTAAAAATTTGTTTAATTTTTAATAATTCACAAATTTCTTGCAATAAGCTATTCACGAATTCGGTACCTCTATCAGATTTTAAAACTCTAAAATGTCCATATTTTAGGATGCATTGTTCTACTACTGTCTTGGCTATGTCCCTTGCAGATTTAGTTTCCATAGGGTGAGCGATTACAAATTTTGTAAGATCACACTGCATAGTCAAGATATACCGGTAACCATTTGAAAATTTTAATGGTCCTACTGTGTCAATAGACATTATGTCAAAACTTGATGAAGGTGTGTCAGTTATGGTCAGTTTTTTTTTTGTATGTGTTGTAACTTTGTGTCGTTGACAAGAATCACAATTATTAACATATTCTTTGGTCATTTTGTTCATGTTTTTCCAAATATATCGTTGTTTAATCTTTAATAAGGTTTTTCTAACTCCTAAATGACCTGCGTGCGTAGATTCATGATATTCTTGAATTATTTTAAACATATTTAGTTGTTTTGTTATTTTTATCAATGGTGTGTAAATACATATATTTAAGTTTGGTCGACCTTGTTGCTTTAAAAATTTTTGCAAAGTATTATATTTTTCTTTAAACTCGAGTTTTTTCATTATTTTAAAAATATTATCATCATTTTTAAGCGCTACTATTTTTATATCATGCCTGTCCGTAAATGATGTGAGCTTCTCCAAAAGCGAATCTAGATTCGATGTATTATCGCTACATCTCACAGTGATGGTATCATCGTCTTTTTCGATGTACTCAATTTTTGACGTCATTTCATTTTTATTATACTTCTTTTTATTGGATCCTTTTATTTTTAGTGGTTCGAACCTTATCTTAGCAACATTTTTTATTTCTGCAATTGACGTGCAATCCCACATATATAGTTGATCAGACTTCATGGATATATTGCCGCAATCGTTTTCTACGCCTTTATTATTCACTATTGTATTTTGTGTTTTCATGTTTCTTGTTACAACATTCAATTTTTTCGAGACTTCATCATCGTTTATTGTAGGTATCATATTCTTTAGTATGTTCGAATTAATATCAATTCTGGATAATGCATCTGCGTTAGCATTTAATTTTCCCTTCTTGTATACTATATTAAAATTGTAATCAGTCAGTTCTATTCTTATCCTTGTTAATTTTGAAGAAGGATTTTTATGCGTAAATAAAGATATAAGAGGTCTGTTGTCTGTTACCACCGTGAATTGTCTGCCATATAAGTAAGGCCTAAAAAATTGTATAACCCAATGAA